CTCCCGAGGCCACATGGGGAACAACTGGGAACCATAACCCAAGAGCGCCAGACGACAGATCCCTGCCAATGGCTGGAGGAGAAGAGAGTGGGGTGTGCTGGTGGTGGTACACGGCTGCTGGATTGGGCTGCCATATCTTCGTTTCAGCCGAGTGTCGGCGCGTCCGCGAAAGGGCGTCCGCCCGGCCGTGCTTTACGGAAAGTTCCATCAGACGCCTGGTGTACCTTGGGTCGTCTATTACCTCTCACAGGAACTCTGATAACCTCTACCGCCGCTCGTCAACTGTCCCGGACTCTTCTAGCCCGAACTCCGCAATATATTCGACGACCTCCTCCATAAGTAGGTAATTTACATACGAAAGCTTCGCCATCTTCACTGTTCTTAGAAAATATTTGTGGGTATTTTCACACACTTGCTCTACACTTATTGCTTCTCTTGGAGTCTTTTTTCACTTCACTCACTTTCTGGTCTTTCTCTGCAGTCTGTTCTGGCACTTTCATTTACTATTCTCTCTCTGTAGGCCTTATTTGATGTGTGTGGGGTGAAATTTGCGAAGCTGTAACGTATAGCCCAGCAAAAAATTTAGAAGGGATTAGCATGTGTATGGCAGCAGAAAATTTTTAATTTCATTAGAAGCACCCTGTGCTTACTTGCTATCGCAAATGTTTGTGTACATTTAGGCACATGCACAGTAATAGGAAATGCGGTACAATTGATTTTTACTTTCGATTATGCAAACTCCGCGCATGTATACGGCTTTGTAGTACCTATATGTATACATACTTAAGTTTGTGTGTACATACATAGGTATGAACTCATTTGTTGAAAGTGGTTTTGATATTCGTAGCATAGCTTTAAGCTTAGGTTTAGTAGTCTATTGATAAAAATGCAAGGCGAAAATTGAAAACAGTACTGAAATCACTTTAACTGGGACCGTTGATAAATGATGAACATACATGAATATATGTATAATATACATATGTATGGATGATATAATAGCGCTGATCCAATACACTTCGTGCAAAATCCTGTAAAAATGTCAAACAACAAAATCACTCTCTGAAGTGGGAGTAAAATATGAGTAACAGCAAAAAGTACG